ATTCTAGTTGAAAGTAGCATCATCTGACTTTAATTGTCTGGAACAGCAAGCTGTGGAAAGTCCTATAATGTCCTACCAATAGGAGGAAAAAGAGGTGGAAGTCTAGCCAGGAGACCACAAATGGCAATTACAAAATCATGGTAGGTTTAAATTCAAAATGTGTTTTCATTTGTGTATTTTACCCCTGCCTTTTATTTCTCTAAACTTGGCATCCACATAACATATATGCTTTTCTAGAGGCTTCACTCAGATAATCTTTTGACTTAAAAAAATTAATACGTGCAGTAAATAATTCTTTTAAAATTACAGGTGAGTATTAGCATGATAAAATAAAGGTTTAACAATAATGGAACAATTAAGAAAACTACCTCCTAGAAGTTTATCTTTTAAAGTACAGTTCTGTACAAACAATACAGAATACATTTGGTTAGGTAACAAGATTTTAATTACATGACTATTAGAATAATAATAAAAAATCTTGAAAGACAAGATTTTATCAATTAACTATGTCATTACCTTATCTTTTAAACAATAACAAAAACCTCACTGAAACATTTGACCTTTGCGTTTTCTAAAATTACAATTATTTTGCAATATGCTCATTTTTCCAAAACAAAATCCACAAATATATATAGAATATAAATACTTAAATTGGTTTGATGAAAGTTCAATCACAAAACCCTCCAACTAATACTAAAATAAATAATTAAATATCTGGCAAGCTTACTCCAAATTCCACAGTAAAAATGATGTCTTTTTCATAACTCCTATAATAGCATTTTAATCAAGGTTAGTAACAGACTAGCAAATTTGTGAAAAGAACATTACTTTAAAAGTCAACTAGGATTTAAAACAATATAAAAACATGAAGATTTCACAACTTCTCTAGCCAGTCAACTTCAAAGACACAATTTGATTCAAGCGTTGTTGGCACGTTATTTCCAATCTAATTGAGAAAACACTTGGTTTAATAATGTATTTTAGGCTTTCTGTAATTTTTTGGTAAAGGAAGAAAAGAACAGGTGGAGTAGATTAGCCGAGACAAACGTCTTATTTTCATCCCTCTATAAATTCAATCCTCCAAGACTTACTTTCTCTGCTCTTTAAAATGGCTACCACCCTGATGTACCATGCAAAAAGAAAAAATATACAGCATACTATCAAAGATAAATCTGGTTATTTTGACAGTTTATGCCCTCCTTTCCCACAAAATACTTTAAGATTCCCATTCCTTTACTGTTTAAATAAAATGACCATTAAGTACGTACCCAAAAGTTGGTCAGTTGTAGTAGGAGGGCAACCTATGTAACCCAGATTAGGTCATCTTTCCTACCATATAGTATCTTTCACAGACTAAGATCAAACACAGTAGAAATGAAAAAAGGATATATAGTAAAGGACAACAAATGTGGGAACCACAACCCCGTAAGACATTTTGTAGCTCAAAAGAACAGATTAACAATTATGTGGGTTAGCAAAAATTAAGCTTTTCATAATATTTCTAAAAAGCATTTTATAGATAATAAAACTACTTGATACCCCCAACCTATTTTTAACGTGAACATATGTTCAACAACTATTCTGAAAATATTGTTTACATATTACTATTTCCTACCCACTGTAAAACCATTCCCTAACTCTTGTTCTATAAAACTTCCCATAAAAATGCATTTTTCACATATAAAAATGAAAACAATATACAATGCTTTAGACTAATTTTGTGCATACATATAGCTACTAACTAGATTAACTTCAAATCTGTTGAATGGCTCCAGAAATATGACATGATCTTACCTCTCATCCTCGCCATCCACCAGAGGTGTCGTCAGCGGTAGCACCTTCAACGGGAAGAGAGAAGCAGAGGCTGCTAGGCTGCTGCTACTCCCATCTGAAACTGCTGACATTCCCCCACTGTCACCACTGATAGTCTGAGGTAAGCCAACTAAGGATGGCTCCGCTGGACGCCTGGCATCTTCAATGTGGCTTCCAATTGCCTGAGCTAATGATTGTGCAGAGAACTGGGTAGAACTTAGTGGTATCTGTTGTGCCAAAGGCAAATTTATATTAGTTGCTATCAAGGGAGGTTGACTAACACTTTGAACCAGATTACCATTTTGGGTGGCAGGGGTTTGTGCTATATTTTGTGGTGGAACCAAGTTTGTTGGGGCAGAAGGCATTCCAGAAGGACCAGTTGAACTAACCTGACTTGTAACAGAAATACTACTAGCAGAGGGCAAAGGACTAACTGCAGACAACTGCTGTGAAACAACTCCTTGAGCTACTGGTTCTACTCCTTGTGGCTGGGGAGGCATAGTTGTTAACAAGTTACTTTGGGGTGCAATAACCAATTGTTGAGGAAGGCTTGGAGCCCTAGTTTGAACTCCCTGATGAATAATCCCAGTTTGAGCAGATGTGACCACTTGTGAAGATGGAGGAGCACCTTGCTGAATAACTGCAGGTGGAACTTGGGTAGAGGGCTGCTGCACTGCAGTAGGTACGCTTGCTTGCTGACCAATACTTGCAATCTGACTGCCAGTAGGTACAGCAGACACTGCTGTCTGAGCCTGGCCAACCGGCTGGACAGATGCCCCTGCAGGTTGTGCTGGGACTGCTGTGGGCTGTACTGGCAACTGGATACTCTGTGGCTGAGCCACAGGAATCACCGTTGTTCCTACTCCCACTCCTGCAGAACTGGGCTGTGTGGAGGACACTGCTGTTTGAAGAATTGGCTGCTGTTGTACATACTCTGAAGCAGGATTTTGAGTCACTGATTTGACATGGCCTGGGGCCATCTGTGTAGAAACCATTGGTTGCTGTTGTCCATACTGTAACTGTTGGGGAGGTGGTGCCCCTGGAAGGGGAGTTTGCACTGGAGGAGCCGCCTGAGAATATGGTAGTTGGGGCTGAGCCAAACTGGAAATGGAAGGCTGCTGACCTAAAGCTGAAGTTACACCAACCACATTTACAGGCGATGGCTGGATACCAGTTGCAGCACTCATAGTGGCCTGCAGAGGTACTGGCTGAAGACCTTGCTTTTGCTGATAGCCCAGTTCTTGAGACTGTAATTGTACTTGTGAGATCTGTGACTGAGAAATACTCTGTGGACCAGTGCTACCAAAATCCATCTGTTGGAGGGTCATACCTTGGAGAGCTGGTTGTTGCTGTTGTTGTTGCTGCTGCTGCACCACCACAGTAGGGGCTCCCATCTCTCCACTTCCCACACTCTCTGTATAGTGACTCAGTGTGCTGACACTACTGCTCACTGAACTCCCACTAGTGCTCTCCCTTTCAGAAGTCACTTCTATCGGATTTTGCTTTACAGTCTCCACCACTTTATTTATCAACACACCTTCTGTAGCAGGTACAGCATTTTCTTTTTCATAGAACTCAGTGCAAGTCCATCTACCTTTTTTAAAGGGCTCAGAACTAGAATCTAATTTCACAACTCTGAACCTCGAAGTATTAACTGTTGGTTGTTGCTGCTGACTTGAAACCAATCCCCCAGTCATCCCTGCAGCTGCATTAGGGACACTGCTAACAGCAGTGGAGGAAGAAATAGTACCATTGCCCATGCCACTCAAGATATTCACATTAACACCACTGGTAATACCAGGCCCAACACTCACACTAGCAGCACTAGGAACATTGCTTGCACTTATATTAGCATTACCAGGCATGCTGCTTGTCACATTAGGACTAAAACTACCCACAGCAGTAATGTTAACATTATTCACTGTATTAGTGCCAGTAACAGAATTTATACCTATTCCGCCTGTAGTACTTGGAGTACGCATATTAGTCATCATAGATGCAGGTGAACCACTGGATGATACAGCAGAAGTTGGTGCAACTGGTGTGATACTGTCAGAGCTTCCAGTTGTAGAAAGTTTTCTAGATACCGGGCTTGAGGGTGGCCCACCAGGAATGGATGCAGTGGCCACAGCAGCATGAGATGGATGGTGCCCATGTTGGAGGTGGTGCCCATGATGAATGTGATGGTGGTGATGGAGGTGGTGTGGATGAGCATTCCCATTGATCACAACATTCTGTTGTGGAAGGTGAGGCAAATGAGGCTGAGGAAGATGGGGCTGGTTGGGAGAGACTGCCCCAGGTGTCTCGGCTTCCTGGAAGTTATTTAGGGTCTCTTCTGAGGAGCTGCGTTCGGGCTCCCCTAAGTCAGTAGCCCTGGAAAGTGACACATCAAGGATCTCCGAAGAAGAGAGATCTTCCGTGTGAGATTCATCCAGATCGTCATAGCTCTCAGTGTCCTCTGCTATACTGTTGTTAGAGCTGATACTAGCGGAGATCTGAGCCGGAGTAACGCTAGTTATCTGGAAGCCACTTTTCTTTTTCATTTGAGTTCCGCCTGGCGCAAGAGGCTGTGCCTGCAGCTGAGCCTGCGAAAGGAGGTTCAGGCTTTGTGGAGGCGGAGGCTGTGGTCCCGACGTAGAAGATGCTGCTGCAGGGGGCGGCGGCTGAAGCAGCGACGGAGGCGGAAAATCCTCGGAAGACGTGGCATTACTACCGACGCCGGTACCTGCTGCATTGAGAGCAGAGGCGCTGCCACTACCGCTGCCCCTTCGAGGGAACATTGCCGGGTGCGCCATCTTCCTAGCGCTAATGTCTGCAGCGGCGGCGGCCGCGGCGGTGGACTCAGGCGGCTGGTGCATTGTGTTGGGTACCGGGGGGGCGGGGGGGCGGAGGAGGCGAATGCAATTTCCTTCTGCACCGTAATCTTTGTATTCAAGACGCCGGAGAGGAAAACGGGACCTGACGCTCCGCCTGTCGCGATTCCTCCTTCTCCTCCTCCTCAGCCGAAGGCGCCGGCCGCTCCTGCCTTCGAGGGCGAGCTTCGGAAAGGAGGATGAACGAGGGTGAACAGAGTGGCCGAGGACCCGAAGGGGGACCCCTTCAGTCCTTAGCCATTCACTTTCCCCTCTAGCCTCACACCCCCCTTTATATTCCGCTTCACGTGGGGTGTGGGGCAGGGGAGAGGGGGAGAGCGCAGGAGGGGGAGGAAAAGCGAGAAATGCCCACCTTCTCCGGCCAACTCCGAAGCCGCCTCAGCCCCCTCCTCCCGCCGCGGCGGCGGCGGCCGCTGCAAAGCCCTCCCGGCCGCTCTGCACCGAGGCAGCGCGAAGCTAGAGTCGCCTTCCCCTCGCCACCCCCGGGGCCGCAGCCGCCAGCGAGCCCTGAGCTGAGTGTCGCTCAAACCTCCCCTCCCGGCCCCGCTCGGCCCTCCCCCCACGCCCCGCAGACCCTTTCAAACCCCCTGGGCTCGCGGCGGCTGCTCGGTGAGGAAACGCTGGCCGCGGCTGGGGCCGGGGCGGCGCGGCTGCGTGCGGGGCGGCGGCGGGGCGCCCGGTACGGTGAGCCCAGCAACGAGGCGCGGGCGGGCGCGCAGAGACGCCGGGTCCTCGCGGAGCACGGCCGGGGCGCGGCGGCAGCGACGGTGGCAGCGGGAGCCCAGGGACCGCTCCATCACTGGCAGCCATGGAGCCCGAGCATTTTCCTCCCTCAGGGCAGGCGCCTCGGCTCGGCACACGTCCTCGGGGAGGAAGGGGCCGGCGCCCGAGCCTCCCCGGAGGGCGGCGGGACGTGCGCTAGGGCGGAGGGTGCGACCCTCTCTTGTCCTCTTCCTCCGCAGCCGGCTCGTCCTCACCCCGCTGCTCCCACGGCCCGGCGGGAGGGGGCCGCAGGCGGCGGCGGCTCCTTTCTCGGCGGCGTTGGTGGCCAGACGGGCTGGTGCAGCGACTGCAGCCGACGCCGTTCAAAGGAACGAGAGGTGGGGTTGGTCGGTGTCGGCAAACGGGGCGGGGGAGTGGGTGGGTGCCGAGGGAGGGTGTCGGGCGGGGAGGGGGCTGTGGTGGTTGTTACTAGTGCTCTTCTCCGGCTCCCCGGGCTCCACCGTATCCCCCAGTCTCTCGCGGCTTCAGGAGGGGAGGGACAAGCGCCGAGCGCAGGAGGAGGAGGGGCGACCGCCGGCTAGAGGAGGCGACGGTGGCGGGGGGAGGGGGCAGGCGGAGAAGGAGGAGGAGGGAAGATGGCGTCTGCGCATGCGCCTAGGCGCCGCAGACATAAAGCCGGGTCTGGCGGGGCGGGAGACAGCGGGTCCTCGGGCCTAGGCGAGCGCCGGGTCTCTTGACGGAAGTTGCCGAAGGCTGGCGGAGGCGCCGAAGCCGGGAGTCGTGGAGCCGGAGGGGTTGGTGGGGTGGGGAATTTCGGCCGAAGGAGCGAATCCGGGTCGGACTGCGTGATTCGGCCCGGTGGGGGTGTGCAGGCGCGCGCTCAGGTTAGGTGTGTCCGCTCTTTTCACATTCGTGGCCGGCGCGCGCGAGCACGCGGGAGAGGAGGGGGCGCGGCGCGGAAGGGCCGGCGGAGGCGGCAGGAGCGTCGGCGCTCGGTGTGCGCGCCCTGGGTGGTGTCCCCGGCCTGCGGAATGGGTAATGAGGCTTTTCTCCGCAGCAGCAGCATCACGAGTTTCAGTTCCCAGGAGCCCGCTACTGCCACGACGTGAGTCAGGCTTTCTTCCCCGGCGCTCGGCGGAAACCTCCGCCCCCTTGCAGCACCTGGGCTCGCCCCCGGCCCTCGCCTCTTCGGGGGATGCCCCAGCGCCGGGAGCTGCGGGGTCCACGGAAGGCCGGTGGCTCCCGGTGATAGGTGTTGTCTTTTGTGCAGTGCAGTTGCTGCCATGCGGTCCCCTCGCCCTTCCAGGGGCAGGGGCGGGGCGGCCGGGCAGATGTTGCAGCTGTTTCCAGTTAACTGAGCTCTGGGGTAGGCTCTAATCTAACGAGGAGTGGTTGCAATCCATCCTTACGTGGAGGACAGAAGCAGGGCCAGTCCAGTAAACCATTGACCTCAACAGGTGTCTCCAAGCAGCGACGCCTTTATCGTTCATTGTCCTGGTTATATTCTCCATTGGTTTGACTCAAGAGGCAAGGTGGCCCGGACATGTGGACAACACAAATGATAAATGAAGAATGCCTTTTAGGGCTAGAAAAGAAAAAGGCATCTGAAATTCTAGTTTTAAAACACACACACACACATTACAATCCATGGGTCCGAGTGTAGTTCTACAGAAGCAATGTTAGGTTTGATTGGGGGCAATTTACTGGCAGTTACTTTCTTGGCATTTGATATGAAGACCTAGTTCTTAAGCACTTCTCACCAATCGAGAATGTACGTCTCTCCCAGGAATTTAAAAATGACAAAGCAACCCGAAAAACTGTAGGGAGGAATTTTCATTTTACTAAATTTGGGTTGTTGGGGGAATCAACGCTTATGATTAGACCTCTGATTCAGGAAATCTCACCGATTTACATTCCTATTTCAGGATATTGTTAAAGCAAAAACGACTGTCACTTGGAGAGTTTTGATACACCTCTAGTTGTCAATTAACTTATTACCTTTAGTTTTTTCTGAACTCTTCTCTTTGCTTTAAGGGTAAGCCTTCAAAAAGTGAATGTATTTCACTATTTGCATGTTATTGAATAGAAGTGCACCCTCAACATCCGTTCTATCGGGTATCAAAGCTGTAATACATTGTTGCTTTATCTGGGGTCTCCCTCACTGGAAAGAAAAACCAGGACTTTATTTTTTTTACTTTAAATTGCTAATGTAAACCTCTGTTAGAAGTAAATAGGCTCTCAAAAATATTCAAAGTGATACAATAATAAAATTCAAATATGTTTGAGAAGATCGTACTTCTTGTTTTATGATATTAATTTATGTGAATGGTTGTGGTTTTGTAGAACTATGGCTATTTGTGTTTTCATTAAAATATTTTTTAATTCTTCAACAGCTTTTGTTGCAAGTGATATGCCAGGTTTATCGCTGCCATCCATTGTTGAAATGCAAATCTGACATCCTATTTCAATAGTTTTTGAATGGAAAATAGAAACTACCCTAACCGATTGAAACTGCACTGGAATGTAGATGGGTGGAATGTCCTTTCTTTGGACTGCAGTGGGAAAGAAAATGCTCCTGATTTCTCAAACTGTAGCCTTAAGTCAAAGGGGTTTTTTGTTTTGTTTAAGTCAAAGTTGTGAATTACCCCCAAACAGCTGCCCTACACCCCTTAGGCCACCTAAATACTCACTATGATTGTACTGATATGGCTTGACGCTTAATAAACACATATTAAAGTCTTATCCAAAGCTGATAGAATAAAAGAGCTGTTGAGATGATCCTATGAAGCAGATACTTGTTCCAATGACTAGCAAAGGGTACCGTTTGAGCTGTTTTGATGGGGAAGGAAGGGTTGGGGTGTTATTCCTTTTAAAAGAAAGGTTTTAAAAAAAATTCCAGAATTAACATAAGACATAAGGAAATAAGATATTTTGAAGTGTATTAATTTTTGCCTGCCACATCACTTTCAAACTCCTGCTTAGGCTGCATCAAGTCCCACTAAGATATAAAGAGCAACTCTACAATTAGGGAAATCCCAGTTTCAAAAATCTGGATCTCTCTTTCCCCATCCAAAATTCTTATGACCAGCAATATACAAACACAAATTCATTAAAACAAGGAGAAGGCACCTGAACAGCCAGAGTTTGTTCTGCTATCATCTTTTAATTAAAAAGGTCTGAGTTTGTATTAAACACTAAATGCCTACTGCTGTGTATAATAAAGTCATTACATCCTTTTAACCACGTACTTACAGCTATCCTTTGCCTTTCAAAAGACCGAATTTTAGCTGTTTTCATTCTGAAGGTGTACCTCTGAATTGCCTTTCTTTTTTTATTTTTTCTTGAAACAATCTTGCTCTGTCACCCAGGCTGGGGTGCAATGGCAAAATCTCAGCTCACGGCAACCTCTGCCTCCTGGGTTCAAGCGATTCTCCTGCCTCAGCCTCTCAAGTAGCTAGGATTACAGACATGTGCCACCACACCTGGCTAATTTTTTTTATTTTTAGTAGAGATGGTTTCTCCATGTTGGCCAGGCTGGTCTTGAACTCCTGACCTCAGGTGATCCACGTGCCTTGGCCTCCCAGAGTGCTGGGATTACAGGCATGAGTCACCGTGCCCAGCCTCTGAATTAATTTTCTACTGACTCAAAGATTAGCCTGTATTGCAGTGCTTACTTAAATCCAGTTGCAAAATAACAACCCAGCCTTATATATATTTCACCATGTTTAGTATTTACTGTACTGTAAAAATTACAAATTTGGGCTGAGCGAGGTGGCTCATCCCTGTAATCCCAGCCCTTTGGGAGGCTGAGGTTGGCAAATCACCTGAGGTCAGGAGTTTGAGACCAGCCTGGCCAACATGGTGAAATGCCCTCTCCACCAAAAATATAAAAATTATCAGGTGCTGTGGTGTGCACCTGTAAACCCAGCTATCTGGGAGGTTGAGGCAGGTAAATTGCTTAACCCAGAAAGTAGAGGTTGCAATGAGCTCAGATCTCGCCATTGTACTCTAGCCTGGGTGACAGAGTGAGACTCCGTCTCAAAGAAAAAAAGAAAATTTGCTGAACATTATAACAAAATTTATCTATTTGTGAGTACTGCAAAAGGGGTCAATTAAAATCAAGTAACTCTCCAAAAGCAATGCCCCTGAAGAGCAAGAAGGGAATACGTACACTCCAAATGGCTGAGCTACAACAATAGATACCGTTAAAGAGAAATGTATACAGAAAATATGCCACTGTTCCGCTCCAGTAATTATGCTGGCTAACCAGTGCTTCCATCATGTAATGTTATTAATATTTACTTATAGCTTTTAGATGTCATCTGGGGAAAAAAAAGTCAAATGTTTAAACATGACTTATAAACGCAAAAAATCGCAGATTTTTACATATGAAGACTCTAATGCAAGGGGATATTGCGGTTTGTTTATTAATCAATTTGCTCTCTGAAACATTTTTAATGAGACCAGGAGTGTGCCATCACTATTGGTACACAAAATGCTTATTTCAGAACTTTAATGCCAATGTTAGTGAGTCAGTTTAGCTTATAACTGATTAATTTCAGCAGCGTTTGTTAAGTTTTTCTTTTTTTTTTTTTTTTTGAGATGGAGTTTCACTCAT